TTCTCCCTTCCACCACCCTTGTGTCTCTCCTCCACCACCCCCGCCGCCTCCTCTTTTTCGCCTCTTTCCCCCATCTTCGTCGGTTTTCTGGTCGTACCCTTTAACCATCCACCGCCACCTCCCCCCTCCCCTACCTCCACCTCCTCCCTTTTCATTCCGCTTTTCCTCTCTTTTTCCGACGAGCCAACGTCGGAACCAACGGGAGAGAAAGAGTATTGGGTACGGTGTACACCTGTGTGCACGGGTGACGGGATCGTAAAAAAGAAGGGTGGAAACGTCGATTCGCGGTGTGGAGAGACGCGGTGGCTGAAAGTCGAAAAAAAAAAAAAAAAAAAAAAAAAAAAGAAAAAAAAAGGAAAAAAACGCCGCCATCTTGGCGCTACCGAACACGCTCTCATTGCTTGCACTTTTGTACAATGAAAAAGGGAGGATGGAAGAACGTTTTCTCAACGTGACCCCGTTGTGCGTTGTTTGCGATTAGAATGGTGATGTGGTGGTTGGTTTCAAGAATTGTAGGGTAGTGGAATGAAGTGGTTACACACCTCGATGTACTTTTAGCCAATCTCCAAGTTCTGTCCAAGTTGGGTTACGGCCTTTTGAAAGGCCAGTTGTAGTTGCGTTTTGCAATTACCTGCCATTCAATTTAAAATAGCGATACACAAGAGTTGAGAGTTTGTTGATCGAATATGTGGAATTTTCTTGAACATTTCGAAAGTGTGCGAAAGTTTACAAGTAATGTCATAATTCGTATTAATGATGATATAATAAATCTGAAATATCGTGAAATATCGTTTATCACGAGATTATTCTTGTTAGGACTTCCATCAATCCTTTTCAAAACTTTTATCGAGTAATTTAAAATTTTCGAAATCAATTAAAATTTTATCCACAATAACTATACTAACTATAGTTTTAAACAATTTCCAAATGACATCGTAATAAACGATGCAATTAGTATTAAAGTAATGGCAGTGTAATGCTTGAAAACTGCAATATATGATTAAATGTTCTCTCGTCTACGTAGTTAATGCTTTTTTAATGATTTAACCTCGCACCCTAATAGAGAGTTAATCACGAAGCGCGGACAAAATTTTTCTACCGCTCTCAAACACACATTTTCAACCTGAAATTTTATCATATTTTATTACTAAATTTCATTAAGTATATTTTTATTTCACACACGTCAAGGAAAAATAAAAACTCAATCCAAAGGTACACTCATACTTTGAAAATATTAAACAGGGATCATCAGTACAGTGTATCTATGAAATTGTCGAAATTTAGAACAGATATAATACTGATCTGTATGCATCTGCATCTGGTAATCTGCATCGAGCAATTCGATCGGTAATCCGAATAAACTAATCTGCAAATCGAACGTGATCGAATATACCGTTCACACGTCTCTCACTTTAAAAGTCTCGAATCATCCTTTACTCGATTCTTCGTATCCAAAAAACCAATTTATAAATACTTAAAAACTTTCTTTTTTTTTTAATCCATCCAACGATTTTCTTCTCTTCACAGTAAAATTTTCCACGCTATTCCAAAATATATATTTTTTATAATCGTAATAAAACTTGACTGAAACATTCTGCAACTGATTCTACAACTTTATTATAATATTTCTTCTCTAAGTCATCCCCGTCTCCTTTTGTACTTTCGATGCGAACGAAATATAGTAATATAATCGTATAGTAAATTTCTTTAAACGTTCGTTGATCTCGATTCCACCTCCTCTTTTTTTTTTTTTTTTTTTTTT